AAACTTGTTATAGTCTTGGCCTTCACAACATCCTCTGGCAAAGAGTTCCACAGGTTTACTGTGCGTTTGAAGAAATACTTTCTTTTGTTTGTTTTAAACCTGCTGCCTATTAATTTCATTTGGTGACCCTTAGTTCTTGTGTTATGAGAAGGAGTAAATAGACTTCCTTATTCACTTTCCCCACACCAGTCATGATGTTATAGACCTCTATGATACCCCCCCTTAGTCATCTCTTTTCCAAGATGAAATGTCCATCTTATTAATCTCTACTCATATGGAAGCTGTTCCATACCTCAATCATTTTTGTTGCCCTTTTCTGAACCTTTTCCAATTCCAATATATCTTTTTTGAGATGGGATGACAAGATCTCCATGCAGTATTCAAGATGTTGGTGTATCATGGATTTATATAGAGACAATATGATATTTTCTGTCTTATTATCTATCCCTTTCTTAATGGTTCCCAACATTCTGTTCACCTTTTTGACTGCCGCTGCACATTGAGTGGATGTTTTCAGAGAACTATCCACCATATCTCCAAGATCTCTTTCTTGAGTTGTAAAAGCAACAACCACCCATCCTAAGCAAATATTAATCCTGACACACAATGTTTGTCAAATTAATCACATTTTTGTTGTTAATTTCTAAATCCCTGTTAAATGAGTCTATAGGTTCCTACATTGGGAACAAATATTTAATAATAGGCTTGTAATGGGGCGGCAACTCACCCATGCGGCGCCTCCTGTCGGTCGTCCTGGGAATTAGCTCTTTGACCCAGGAGCACCCTCTGCAGACCGGTGTCTCGCCTTGCCTCTGGTCCCCCGTGTCCCTCCCAGACCCCGGTGCCCCTTCTGCCAGGGTTCTGCCCCCTGCAGTACCCTGTGGTCTCTCTGGGTCCTCCCCCAGGGAACCCCCAAACCCCTATCCCCACCTCGCCTCAGTCTTTGGCTACTGCCAGTCACCATCTAGCCCCCGCTCACTGGGGCGGATTGCAGTACAATTGCCACTCATCATTAGCCAAGAGGGTTTGGACCTGCTGCCTCTGCCTACCCTTGGGCTGCCCTGTTGCAACCCCAGTACCTTTCGGCCCTTAATAAGGCCTGCAGCCTGGGGGTTTTCCAGGCCGGAGCTCCCCAGCTCATCTGGCCTTTCCCTGGCCCAGCTCCCCTTAAGGTACTCTTTCTCAGCTCCCAGGCAGCCAGGCCCTTCTCCCTCAAGAGCTAGAGGGAGAGTCCTTCTCAGCTCCTGGCTTCACTGGCTTTTATAGGGCCAGCTGCAGTTTGATTGGGGCGTGGCGCTGCTGTGGCTGCTTCCCCAATCATCAAGCCTTTAGCTCACAGCCCCAGCCCTCTCCCAGGGCTGGCTTCAAGTCCTTTCAGGGCAGGAGTGTGTGACCACCCTGCTACAGGGCTCTTCAATATAGCAGAGAAAGATTCAACACAATCCAATGGATGGAAGCTGAAGCTAGACAAATTCAATTGGGAAATAAGGCATAAATTAACAGTGAACTTAATTAACCATTGAAACAATTTACCAAGGGTCATGATGGATACTCCATCCCTGACCGTTTTTATCCATGATGACTCCAAGATGTCTTTCTTGAGTGGTAACAGCTAATTTAGACCCCATCATTTTATATGTGTAGTTGGGATTATGTTTTCCAATGTGCATTACTTTGCATTTATCAACATTGAATTTCATCTGTCCTTTTGTTGCCCAATCACCCAGTTTTGTGAGATCCCTTTGTAACTATTCGCTGTCTTCGTTGGACTTAACTATATTGAGTAGTTTTGTATCATCTGCAAATGTTGCCACCTCACTGTTAACCCCTCTTTCCAGATCATTTGTGAATATATTGAATGGTCCCAGTACAGACCCTGGGGACAC